TGTTTATGAATGCAAAATATACACTTAAAGCTGAGTGCCAGCAAATGCTCACATGCTACTTTGAATGCAGGTTTTTGTGCACCTGGCATCCCAGCTCAAACCCTCTTAACAAAGAGGAGAAAAAATACTGAAGGCAGCACAAATATAGGAGGTGTTCCTCTGCTGTCAGCCAGCAGCTATAGATTCACTTTTTTGTGATGTGATCATATTACTTTTACTTTTTTTTTTTGTTTGTTTGCTCCGCCTGTTCAGTATGTTGAGTTCAGTAGATTTTTACAGGAAAAATACAGGTTGGTTGACTGTCATTCACAGTTTCTTTCATTTTGAGACCACTTGTTTTATTCAGTGGAATATGGCAATCGTAGCTATACATAATTTGTGCAGAAAATGGTGCTTTATTTCTTGCTTGAAAAATGGTCGGCTTACCTTAGAATTATCTACTGTATTTATCTTAGGCAGTGACAGAGACAGTTGCTTTACTATTACGTGGCCCTTTGTAATGGCTGATACTGGGTTATTTATGGTAGAGATTTTAATAAAGGATTACACGATTTAAACAAAAAAAATTATAGACTTCAGTAGATCCTACTAATATACTTTCAAATCTTTGCCCTTTTGTGTTCTTTCTGATAAATTCTTACAGATTCTTGGAAAGAACAGCTCCTTAATCACTAGTAATGCACTTCAAATAGTCCTATCATTTGAAATAATTGTTCTTAAAAACATCATTTCTGTTGCCCCAATATCCTACCTGAGCTTATTTATAATTCATTCTCCTCATTCCACTGACAAAAGCTTATACTGTTGATAGACCTGAAACCCAAAGCCAGGCTTTGTTCAGATGAGAGCCATACATCAACAATGCAGAGTGGTGACTGAGTTCCAGGTTTTGAATGTGTGCTTTAGTGAGTGTGTCAGCTGAATGACTTGGTAGAATCACAGATTTCTTTAGGTTGGAAAACACCTTTGAGCCCAACCATTAACCCAGCGCTACCAAGCCTACCATTAAACCTTGTCCCTAAGCACCACATCTACATGTCTCTAAAATACCTCCAGGGTTGCTGACTCCACCACTGGCCTGATCATCCTGTTCCAGTGCCTGACAGCACTTCCAGTGGACAAATTTTTCCTAATACATTTTACTGACTGTGTCCAAAGAACAGCTATGCTGGTGAAGAGTCTTTAGGTATGTGCCCTTGGTGCTCTGTAAGGTGATTCTGTGTATGGTCGCCTCTCATTTGCCCATTTAGACGTTTTTACTTCATCTTTGAAAATCTTTATATCTCTATATTTCTCCTCTCTTCATTCTTCTTGGTCTCCTCCAGGGTTCTCACCTCAGATCATCACAATGGACTAGTTCTAAATCGGTGCGTTCCTCCCACTGTTTCTACCCCACCAAAAGACACCTCTGAGCTGAAAATCCAGATTAGAGAAATGTTCCTAAGATAAAACTGAGAATAATTTTACTTTGTTGTCTCTCTTTCTGCATACAAACCCAGGTGCTATGAATTAAACCCTTAACACTGTTAACATCTCTAGCAATTTTGCTCTTCACCCCAAAAGCACTGTATTTTGCTGGGAACCCAGCTTTTGCCCCTCAGAGTGCAAGACTTCTCAAGGTAATGATTTTGGGCTGTTTCTTAAGCGTGTTTTGTACATGCAGTAAAATCCGCTGGGACCTCGCCTGTGTTGAGATTGTAAGTTACGGATTCATCCCTTGCAATACAAAGCCCTGTGTGCTGGAGTCAGTCTGTAAATGTGCCTCCTCTGCCAGCGCTGTGAATTAGAACTGCCAAGCACACAAGTTGCATTTAAGAACAATTTGCAGAGATCATAATGCTGCGTGCATAAAACTGGTGCACTGTTTGTCTGTTCGTAGGAAGTTTTTAAGGGCTGGATGTTTGTTTAAGCTCTGCGCTGAATCCCCGAGCAAAAATTACTGGGGTTGCAGTAAAGATTTTGTAGACCTTCGCGTGTGCCTTCCTCTTTAAACCCTTCTAAAGATTATTTAAACCATTTTTAATATCTCCTTGTTTCACAGGAGTTTCACATCTGATCAAGTCTTCTTAACTCCTTGTGCTGCAAGGAGCAGTGTGAGTTTGTTTGTTTAAGCCCCAGTTAAAGGAACTTGTATCTTTAAATACTGTACAGCAAGCCTGGAAGAGCTCCATGGAGGGGAAAGCACAGCTGTTCCATCATGGTCCGTCATGGTTTCTATGTGTCCCATAGGCAATATCTTTCTTAAACTCATCTTGTAAAATTACCCAATTCCTTGTGCTTGTGTGTCTTTAGACTCACAGTAGAAGGTGGGTCTTTGGATTATTTTTTTTTCTTACTTTTCCCCTTCACCTGGCCTGCATCCTATAGATCTTGACATGCACTGGTCTCTTCTCATCCTTCGTAAGCGTAAATGTCAGTCCCATTTCCCTGCAACCTCTACCACCCAGCTGTACTTTCAATCAGAGCTTTAACACAAATTACTAAAGAAGTTGTTGACTAGCTTCTGACTCCCAATAGCTAATTTTTCTTTGGGGTTAGACCCTTCAAAGTACTGAGTAGCCATCAAAGGCATGTTGGAACTCACTTTTCTGCCTAACATGACCTCCTCCTCATAAAGGAATAAAAAACCCCACTAACATTCTATGACATTAATGAGAATTTCCCCCCCTGCAAACATATTGTAACTGTGAAATAACATTAAAGTTTCTCTGCCTTGTTATGAAGTCTTTTAAATGTCAATGCCATTTCTGAGACCATCAGGGCAGACTTAATGGCGACCAGGGTCAACAAATGCTAACTGGTACCTCTCTTTTAGGGCCTTGAGGGACTCTTAATAGAGTCTCAGCCATGAAGTTAATTTGCGATGTGGACCTTTATTCTTAGACCCGATGATTATTTTGTAACATCTTCATTCATGTGCTTAGATTTCTTAACGTTCTCTTGTCTATTCAGTCAATAAACTGCTAAAATAAAGACATTCTCAGGCATTCCATCTCTTGAGTTTCCTTTTTTTGATGTTCCTTTTAACTTCTGGTTATGGGCTGTGGAAGGTTAGTGTGTGCTTTCAGTAGACCACCCCTACGCTGCCAGCCCTGATAGGATCCTCTGATACCTTCAGGTCTGAGATCTCCTGCTGTTCTAAGGGACTGGGAAACTGTCCACCGTGAAAGCCTCTTCCTGTAGGTGTCCTAAATCCTTTGCTGCCAGAAACAGGTGAGGTGGGAAATGAGAGACTGTGTAACTACAGGATTCTTTTACTTTCTCTTTTCTGTAATATTTCTTCCTAGTTGCTAGTCATCCCTTTCTCTATTACCTAATTTAGATTAAAAGGGCTCTTTAGCCTTTATTTGCGTAGAAAATATTGGAGACAGTGATGGCACGCCACAAATAATAAATAACAAAACTCCATCTTTTTGGTGGCATGTTGCGTTTCTGCTCAGTTGCCCTGCCAGACCCTCTGACTTTAAAATATTTTAGTGTCCTGCACTTTTCACCCAGTCCAAGCACCAGACTCTCCTCAGACATTTAGCACTGACATTAATGCAAATGCCTCCAACTCACTAGGCCCTCTGGGGCAAAACATGACATCCTTGGCTTTCAATCACATGGCAGAGAGGATATATTTGTATGCACAAAACTGGAAATAATAAAATATCAGTATTCAGGTGCTAATCCACATTAATTTGCATTCTGTGAAGTCTACAAGAAACTTGTAATTGGTTGTCTTGAAGGGCAGCTGAGTATATTTGGTATTTTGTTTATTTATTAAAAAAGAATTTAAATTATACATACAAATGCTGCACAGATTTGTATTATATCTCTCTTCTAATCGTTGTTGGACCCTTGCTTGCATTCCTAAATTCTAATGTTTTGGGTCTGATTGACTGTCTTGCACTCTGTGTGCACAATACATATCTATTGTAAGCATTGCCAGAGTGCAAATTATACCTTTCTTTCCATCAGTGGATTCCAAATTGCCCTGCTAAACCACTTATACTGCAGTGCTTTTGCTATCCTTAACAAACCTGGCTTCTGTAATTAAAAAAAAAAAAACCAACAAAACCACAACAAGATCTTTGTGAAAGGTCCCAAAGGCTGGAGGAGTTTAAATTCAGTTTGTTATTGAAATTAATGCACAGGTCTAGCAAAAGATATGTGGGTGCCTGATACACTGCTGTTCTGATGTGCATAAAACCTCAAATGCTTAGCTGCCTGGATGAACCTCAGTGCAAAGATACTCCAGGATGTAAGTAGGATTGTGATGTCTGTTACATCATATCCACAAGTATAACAAAACCACTAGAATTTGCTTGCACTGGGTTGACAAATGTGAATTACAGTTGCTTGCTTTCTTCAGAGTTTTATCAGACTATAATCACTTGCCCAGCTTAATTGAAAAATCACTTACGTTTATAGCTGTATTTAAACATGTTTTGTATTTAAATGACAGCTTTTGATGTACAACCATTTTTTACAGAAAGTAGTTGGTTTTTATCTGTGTTTCTGTAAAGATATTTCAAAAACTCTCATCAAATTTCCAGTGGTAAGTAATATCCCATTCAGTGCAAGGTGAAATGTTTTACATCAAATCTCCTGCTGTGTAATGGCCAATCAAAGACTATTTATAGTGGCTGAATGGATTTTTTGGCTCCGTATTCAAAATTAAACATTTTCAAACCTTAACATTTAATGTTTTTTGCCACTCTTCAAGTTGATTTTATGTAACCCTAGATGCTCACAACTACTTGATACTCTGAAGTGACTCATTTTATGCTGAGGATCCTACAGGCAGTAGTTTTACATTTATTACACTTGTGTAGATGGAATGAAATGTAGATTTGATAGCAGATCCGTGTCTGTCTTCTGGTAAACATTTTGTTGGGTTTGGCTGTATGTCCGTCAGTGTGGCGTCTGTTTCTGAGAGAACACATTTATCAAAGGAAATTGTTGGGCAAAGATAAATTTGGGTAATTTACAGGAAATTGTTTCTCTTATTGCAGTTATCCAGTAAGAAGATCTCATGCCAGCAGCCATCTCTTGAGCTAGATGGCTCCTACCTGGGTGTTGGGGGACCTTGGACTCTTCATAAGAACTGCAGAGCACCAAAGGCTGGAAGCCCAGCCTGTGTTGCATTGTCTCAGCCTTGCAGGAATAACCCCCATTACAGGACTGAAATCCATTGCAACCATCAGGAGTGTCTGAAGGAATATATGATGGAAAATGACTTGCACAGAAAGTGTAACAACACTGTGATTTCCCCAGCCAAGCAGAGGAGCCCTCACCATGTAAAACAAGCTCAGGAGGTGGACCAGAAAGCAAATGAATTTCAGAGCACGTGCCCTCAGCAAGTGAGTCATGGTTGTGCCTGCAGGCATGTAGGGAGCTCAGGGAGCATGGAAGAGAGCCGCTATGTCAGCCAGGTACTTAGAAAACACTCTGGGCCAGTACACAAAACCTGTGATCATTCCAGGCACTCTCGAGGTTTTGGGCAGAATCACAGCGCGGACTCGGGGCCTAAGGAAACGGAGCTGGCTAAAAGCTTGCAGGAAGAAAGAAGGCAGAGGCTGCTTCTGCAAAAAATGGAGCTGGAAATCGAAAAGGAACGACTCCAACATTTATTGACTCAACAAGAAGCAAAACTGCTCCTAAAACAACAGCAACTACACCAATCCCGTATGGATTATAACAGGTGATTTTGAGACTTACAATTAAACTTAAAGAAAAATTCTGAAATTTCTAGTGAAGACATGGGCGATAGTTGATTAAAGTGGGAGAATGGAACTGATAAAACAAGACAGGCAAGACTTGTGGCACAAATTCTAACAGTGATTTAGAGAGGAGAAGACTTTTTAGTATGTTGGTATATACTGTTGGCAAACAGCATGACAGCTGTGGAAAGCAGCAGAGGAAAACAGTAGGTGGTAGAAAGAAAGGCACAAGATAAGCACTACTAAAAGACTAGGTAAGAAAAGAGAAGCAGTAGAAGAAAATGAGACGTTGACCTTAGTGCAGACACTTGAAGGAATACAGACATTTGCCAAGAGAGCAGCGTGAGCGTGGATGGCATAGATTCATTCCCTCTTCTTTCCTTGGAGAGTTTTGAAGTGTTGCACCCTCCTAGGTAGGGACTGTAAGGAATGTGTTTTACAGAAAAGATAGAGATCATTATGTGCATTTATATATATATGGAATATATATTTTTTCCCCATGTATTTACAGAAAAGGAAGGGTGCTCTTTGTAGCAAGGACATTTTCTTTCCAGTGGTGGTTGCGAAAAGGAGAATGCTGAGACTGGGCCACGGTACATGCTTAAAACTATAAGAAGAAAAAGGCAGCAACCATAGAAATACATGATGTGGCTTGAAAGGCCCTTGAGCTTATTGCAGAAGGTTAAGTAACACGTTTCTGACAGTGTAAATAGAGTCTCTGAGAAAGGAGACAATGGGAACAGGTTAAAGCGAGTTAAATTAGCCAGTGTAACTGAGTTGAGTACTAGCATTTCAGCATTAGAAAGGGAAAACAATGGGGAAGAATGTAGCAGTCTTTTAGGAGAGGCAGTAGGAGTGTTTCACAAGGATGCATATTTCTATACAGTTCTAATATGGCAACTGCTGACAGCATCCCATGAGAGTCTGCATTACATGACCCACTTCCTATGTTCATATATTATAACCACCATGGAGGAATATATCACTTTCTCTTCTTAATTCCAGCCCCTGGTTACTTTTCAAACTGTAAAAGAGAATGCTGTAATCTAGATGGTCTTTTGTTTGCCTTCTCGGATTGTTGTTTGCATTGAAAATATTGTGTTTATATGGCTTTAGAAGTACCTGTCTTTAAGGCAATCACAGTTGTGTGTGTTGAAAATGACTGAGGTCACTAACGAAGGATTATGACTTCAGGTGAGAATTAAGTAGGAACAGATGGATTCTTAATCATCAAATACCTTAATTCCATGCATGCATCCCTCTAATGAAAAACAAGTAGATATGAAGGACACACAGACTTTTAGAGTTGGTTGTGAGTTTTTTGGTGGTTTTTTTTCCAGTGGGAATTTTTCAGGATTCAGGGCATTATACGTCCAGAAAAAATTAGACCTTAAATATCTACAGTGATGTCCTCGTTATATCTATTTTAGCTATTTTTTTCTGAAAAAAAAAACCTCATGGTTTACAGAGCTCTAGTTACCTAAAAAGAATTCTATGAATTAAAATCATATATGATCAATCTGAGGACTCAGTATTTTTGTGATCTCTTTTCAAAGGTGCACTTGAAGGCAGATACGCCATATTCTCTCTAAGAAAACAACTAGAAAATAGTGTGCTTTCTCTTAAAAATGTTTCAGTATCTTTAGAATTAAATAGTTGATATTTACAGGTAAATCTCTTACACATCACAGTTCTGTTTCAGTTCCAGGTATATAATTCACTTTTGCACTTGGTAACGGGGCAGTTTTCTATACTACTAACAATAAAAATGAGTTTAGCTAGGCTCAAATACCCTTTGCTTCATTGCCAGGAGGTTCTAACCTAGTTAGGACATCATGACAGTTTAAAAAAAACAATACAACAAAAATCCTATTCCAGACAGTGTTTATTTTTGTCTGTCCTTCTGCCTGGGCAGAGTGCTGGTTAAAGTCCATTCCAAGCTACTGAAAGTATTGTCATTGAATGACAAATAAAAGGTCTGACCATTTGCAATTATTGGCTATTAACTTTTCTGATCTTTTAGCTAAAGTATGAGTTGATCCTTTTTTTTTCTGCCGTGCTGCATCATGACTGCAATCTAATTGTCCACATTTCCCTATTTAACCTCAAGTGAACATAGAACTTTCAGTTTGCAGTTTCTGTCTCTGTGAAATAGTTGCTCAGCTGTCAAAAATGGTGTGTGTGCAGGCAAATGGGTAGTTCAGTGACTCCTGATGCCAGCCTCACTGGAGTAGACTAGTAAGGGCAAAGCCCGGAAACAGGAATTTTATTTAAGTAAAAAAGTAGTACCACTGTCTTGGCTTTTCTGTCTTCATTAGAGAGAAGGAAAAAGGTGGAGTGATCTATTAAAATTGGAGCATCATCTGAGGGCCCATAGTTGGAGAACACAAAACCATCTGAAACAAATTCTACATTTTATGCAGCTTAGGCATGATGCCTTTGAGCTCTGGTGCTGAAACTGTAATCTGAGCCCAACAGGGATGTTTTTTATTTGATACTGTGACCCTTTCCTTAAGAGAGCTAGTCCTTGGAAATCAGTAAATGAAACTTTTCTGTCTGTTTCCCAGTAGTAACCCTTGGAAGCAAAGGCACTGGACGTAAGTCAGCCTTTCGATACAAAAGTCTATCTGAAAGTGTGAAAACAATTGCAAAAGCATCTGCATTTAATGTGTTTAAGCACCCTGTTTATAGACACATAGGTCACCTTTTTGTGGCAAATTCCTGGCATGGTGAATTGACCAGCTGCAGAACCAACTAACTCATCTTTTTCAGGATTAGAGGCCACGTCCCTGGCTCAGAGGATGTGCCCATTGCTGAAGCACCCGGAGAACTTGCTCTGATGATGAACGGCAGCAGCATGGGGCTGAGGTAATTTCTCTCTTCACTTCTAAGTGCTTCACAGGGTCGGTATATCTTCTTGACAGTGTGCTGTTGCCTGCCAAGTGTATTTGTTCATGTGTTTGTTTCAGATTAAGAGCTTTTTTCTGCAGGAAAGGTAAAATTCATTGACTGCTGTGTTTTATGAGTCAACTCAATAGTTATGATGACCAGTTATTACTCAAGGTTTAGGGTCTGACTTCCTGAAGAGGTCTCAGGTTTTGTGTGTCACCTCTTAGCCCAGTGCAAAATGGAATGTTCTCAAAATCTTAGCTTTTTTTCTTTGTTCTAGGTGCTGCTTGTAATTTTTTTAATTAAAATTGGAACATCTCTTTAGCCTGGATTTGGACCTGCTGTCAATAATATACTATTCCTTAACTCTCAGATCTTTTACAGTTGGTGACAGATACTTGTTTTTTAAATATTGCTGCGTTGCACCTCTGCTTCGGTGAGATCAGAGCAAACCACCACTGAAATAACTGGAAGTAGAGTTAAGACAATATTTAGTTTATAATCTCCATCTTGCTATTTAAAACTTCAATCAATACAGTATTGCACTTTCTTTCTGTCCTACCCTGTCACATTTACTGTTAACACTGGAAGAAGATTCAGGCTTATTAGAAAAGCAACAAATAAAAGCTGTGGATTTGGCAGGGTTTTTCTCCTTTTCTCAGAAAGTAACAGCTTCTTGTTCTATGCTGTAACTACAGGTATCCTTTTGACCAAAGAATTACCTCTTTCGTAATTACCTCTTTGGACAAGACGAGCTGTGGTTTGAATAGCCCTTTTTCTAAGTGACGAGAGAATACCTTAAAATAATAAACTTTCTTCTCTGTTATGAGAATACTGGAAGAACGGATAATTTACTTATGAACTAAGGGTCCAATACTTCCTTTTTTCTTCTTTTTTTTTTTTTTTTTTTTAACTTTGTTATACTAATTTTATTTTATGAGATCTTCTTCACTGAAAAGGGATAAGGCTTTTTTCTCCAGAACAACAGGAGTTTGTGGTTTCCTTGGAATACTTCACTGCTTACCCAGGTGTTTGGTTGCTGTGAGTTACTGTCATATCCTCCTTGTAGTCTGATGCTTTTTTCTTTCACTTTTTAGAGTATTATCACTGTAACAAAAAATCTGGAGAGTGACAACATGTTTAAGATGCAGTAGCATTAAGCTCCTTGGAGGAAAAAATGTAACCTAGAACATCTGTAGGGCTTCTGGCAACAGTTTACCAAAAATCTGCAAATATCTACATAGCCTAACAGGGAAAATTTGTGCTGTTAACAAAATGAGAGTTCCAGATTTCAAAAGGTTCCCTACCCTCTCTTCATTCCCCTGGTTTAATTTACTGTAATTTTTCAAAGTTAATGTCTGTTCGAGCAGTCTCAAGTTGCCTTGCCAGCTGGTTGCAAAGTTTGGCAGCAAAACACTTGGAAGTTTTTCTTCCTATATGCCATCCTCAGTTTCGCAAAGGTTACCAGATGAATGGTCCCTAAATAATTTACTCTAATGTAAGGCTTAAAGAGGCTGCAGAAGACAAGTCCATTTGTCTCTTTTATGCATTTGAATATGTAAGTGATGTTTTCTTCAGTATAGAAATCTGCAAGTGTGTGGCTAGAGCTTAGAAAGGAGGAAGAGCTGGTAGGCATAAATCTTTTTTTTAACTGTCTCTTTTTTTTTTTTTTTTTTTCATTTTCTTGGTGCTGTTATTTGTTTTTTAATTGACCTGTCAAACAGTTCTTGTTACGGCGAATGCTAGCAGAACGCTAATGGAAAATCAGCCCTCTCTGACTTCCAGTTCATACATGAGAGCTCCTCTAGCAAATCTCACAGCATGAAACTTGATTTCAGTCTTCAAATAAGCAAAAAAACTTAGCTTAAAAATATCCTGGTATTTTAAAGGAAATGGTGAAATTCCTGTAAAATACTAAACTTGATGAAGTGAAATATTGGAGTTTAGAAGTAAAATAAATAATATAATCAAGAACTGAAAAACATTGGGTTTTTTTTATAATTAACAGCTCATTTTGAGTTAATTATCTACAATTACAAAAATCTAATTGCAATTTATCCTGTACTGTCTGTGGGAAGAATTGTAGGCAAGGGAATGTGCACACTGCCAGGCATAAATGCTATAGGATGGGTACAAATAATAGACGAACCCTTAATGAAAAGAAAAAGCAAATAGGAGCGTGCAGCTGTGCCAGGCTATTGAAAGGTAATTGTAGCCAGAAATGAGGTATGTAGTTTAAAAGGCATCTTGTCATCTCCTGTAGGGATTAATTTTTTCCCTCATTGAAGAAAGGAAAAAAAGAGTTCACAAGCAAATACAGTAGAGTTTGATTTCTGATACAGGCTTTCCTTACAGTCTGTCAGTGAAAATGGAAACTTTTGTCTCAGGGGCTACTACAGACAAATTTTCAAATGGATACCTGTTTTCTTTTCCCTTCTACTACTAAGGTCTTTTTGTTATTGTAGTCAGGAGGCACTGTCCATCTCAGCCTATTTGGACATCTATTCTGGTATGAATTTGCAGTGTTGAATTTGTCACTTCCCTGATGGGTATGTTGAGAAGAAATGTGACTGTACCTTTGCCTGCTTGCAGCTGGTCCGGCATGTGGGACCTGAAGGTCTTCAGAAGTAGGATCTCCAGTTCTCTCAGGTGCAGCAGTCAGAGCAGGTTTTATTGAGGACGGTTTTCGGTAGCTCGGAATGCTCCCGTGTGAGCCCACATCCAGTTTTTAG